TGCACATATCATGCTAAGCCAGTTATACTATAAATAGTACAGAAAAAGTAAATTCGATTTGTAAACTTTTGCAAACTACCTGAATTTTATTTTAAACGTATGTGCTATACATAGAATTTATTATACTAAAACCTTTTATACTATATGGTTATAGGAAAGATTTTTTTTAAATTTTTTTAAATATGTAGCTGTTTTTTTAAATAGTGACCCTTGTACTATAAATAGTACCAGAAATTTTAACTCACGTCCCAAATTTTTACAATCAGAATTTTATCTATAAGTGTGAGTACTATAAATAGTATGTAAACCATATTATACTATAAATAGTTGAGACTTTTGAAGTTTTTACTACATATTAGGGTGGTCCTTAATATGGATGTTTTCAACCATGAAACATTAGACAGAGGGCAGGCTATCTTTAAGTAAAAATTTAGAGCTAAAACAGTCAAAAAATTTGTTTTTATCAATTTGGAAGAATTTAATGCCCTGGGAGCAAGAAAATTAAAAAAATAAACATATTAAGGACCAACCTACTACACACACACACACACACATACACACATTTATATATATATATATATATATATATAATATATATATATATAGTAATATACCATACTATGTAATATGCCCTACGTACTAACTATAGTACAGGAAAAAATTGTCCAATTTCTAAACTCTTGTAGACAGTCTACAATTTAACTTTAATTTTGTGATAGTATATACTATATTTAGCAAAGTTGATATTTTCTATACATTGTTCCTCAGACTGTCTAGTTTATATATATGTATACAAATATATTTCCATGAATAGTTTTAATAGTAAAACTATATTTGTACAATGATTTCTTTGATAGCTGGAAGCATTCAAGTTTTCTTAAATGGGCGATTGCGTCATTATTATTGGTTTGACTGAGGTCAAACATATACTTGTTTGTATATATATATATATATTATATATATATATATATATATATATATATACATGTATATATATACATGTATGTTTTATATAAATGTATAATAATAGGTGTCTGTTCCATTAAAATCGAAAGTATGCAACGCTCGTATAACTTCCTCGTTCACACTTTGACAAAGGTCAAGTTTTTTTTTTAATCGAGATCAATTCCATATGAAAATCAAGAATTTATTTTTTTAAAGCCTTTAAATACTATCTTAGATAAAAGAAATAAGTACCACTATTTTGCCAACACCTACGTTTTAATTGTTTTCGCACTCCATAGAGGCGCCACCAGGTGTAGCACGTAAATTTACCTTTAGGGGTAATTTATTGTAATCGTCCAAAAATCGAATTTGAAATTTTGTGTATATCTTCACGTTTTGAAGGTTTCTGAACATTTTGGCATACCTCAGAAAAATAGATTTATGTGTGAATACAATTTTTCGTCCACGTTTTCGGACGCACGGATCAACCGATTTGAATGATTCAACAACCATTCGATTCATATGAATAGAAAGATGTGCTGATTAGTTTTTGGCAAAGGCAGGTCCAACACTTACGGAGATACGCAGCAAAGAGTGCATAATATAGAAATCGAGTTTTTGAAAGAACAGAGCATCCGATTCGAATGATTCAAGATGCATTCAATTAGTAATGTTGGAGCAAAGTGGTAGTTAGATTTTGGTAAAGGCAGGCAAAGCCGTTTCGAACATTCGGAGCTAAATGTGCAAAAAACGGCAGATTTTTAAGAGAACTTACATCCAACTTGAATGGTTCAAAAAACTTTCTTGTGCTGACGAAACGATTGTTTTTGAGGATTTTTTTCTTAATTTCCAAAAAATATTTTTTCTTAACTAAATTTTTCATTATGAAACAAAAAGTTCCAGCATTTGCTCCAAATCACAAATATATTTTTAAAAAGATATCTAAGAAAAAAAGTATTATAATAAGATAATCAGTTCTTTAATAAGAGTAATGAATTTGGAGCACATAGACCCTCTGGTGAGTGCAAAAAACACTAAAACAGGATAAAGCACATTTGTTTTGTGTTTACCCCCCATGAAAACTATTTTGTTCACAGACCAATAACATTTCTCTTTATAAAACTTTTTATCAATGTACTATACAATTCAATGAACTTGATGAAATGACGTAAGATTATCAGATAATACAATTTCCTAGAAACTGACTGAAAATTCTGATTGAAAAAGTTATTAGTCATAGATCAGTTGGATGAAAAAAACTCTTTATATTCTAGATCTATAATTGCATCATCAGTAAAATCTTCTTTTCCTTTCTATGTTGATGTGGATAGTTTGATTTGTAATAAAGTTTTTCTGGATTGACAATGGATCATCTTATCAGTAGAGTCTTATTTTTGATGTTCGCTCGTCAGTAGATTCCCTTATTTATTTTCCATGATTTACATACAATTTGCTAAATTTAGAGTCGCTTGCTTTTTATTAACGTCGAATTCTATTTCTCATGTTAATATTTAGTTTGCTCGTCATTAGAATAATATTTTCTCTCCATCGTGCGGCATCTTTGGTCCTTAGATAAATATTTAAATATCTCCACAATAAATCATCATCTCATTACGTCAAAAACAAAACAAAGAATCATCTCATCATATGGATCCTATTGACATGCATTTTAATGCAAAACGATGATGCAGTTTAAACAAAAGCACACCCTATTTTGTTGGAAGAATTTGTCTAACCTATAAATGAATAAATAAAATCCAAGGACTCTCTTTTCAGAGACAAACATTAAAATTCAACATTAAAATCTATTTGTTTAAACAATAATGGAGACGCCAGCAAATTATAAATAAAAAGCTAATAAAATGGGAAATAATATTAAACCGTTTGCAATTAGTTACCGTATGCAAATTGTCTTATGTAACCAACGCTTCACAATGAAGAGACATTAAAACATTGTTTTATTATCTGTAAAACTTTTGAACTATGGGCAAATTAAAAAGGTGTATTTTTTATTGCATTTTCAGCTGATACTACTGATAGTACACTGCAAGTAGCAAGAATCACAGGAGTTGACCTTTGTATTTCCCACAATGGCCCTTTGCATCGTACTGACCTTTACGAAGTTATGACCAGATCCCGCACTAACGAATTCGATTTCGATTTAGAAGAACACAGAGGTAATAAATTAATAATAAAAATGCTAAAGAAAAGTTAAACCAAACGACTTTGCCTTAATTGTATTATTTTATAAATTTCTGTATTTTTTTCTATTTCTCCTGTCTATTTTTTAGGGAAGAGTTCCAAATTAGTGGTGCGCAGAGGTCAAGGTTTCAAATTAATTCTAAGCCTAAGTCGACCATATGATCCTCAAAGGGATGCTGTCAGTTTCATCTTCACAGTTGCAGGTATTTTAGAATTGACTCTTGTTAAATAAATTGATCTTTGACACCAATTAGTAAAAGGTGATACCTAGTTGGTTGGACATGTTTTAAGATAGATCTAAAAGTAGAGATTGGATTTTAGTAAAAAAAAATTGTGCATATTTAAAGTAATACATGGTATACTTAGTAGTGCAAGACCAGTTTTGCATTATCATCGTTAATAATAAAGGTTCAAGACTGCAAGGCAATTTGGGAAGACATTACTTAAGTAAAAAAAAAAATAAGTCGAATAAATATCAGTCAAATGGTTCCAAGTTGCATTTCAGGCATAAACTTAATTTATTTCCATTTTTGGTTTAATTTAAGATGCCGAAGTACCAAACTACGGCCAAGGTACCTTAGTTGCAGTCCCTTTGACCTCAAGACCTACAATTGGTGCAGATGGACAATGGTCAGTTGCTGCAAGGAACTACGAAGGGACAACATTGGAGGTAAGGAACTTAAAATAATAATTGAATCCAAATGATTTTATTTATAACATAAACAAATTACAAGAAACTTCATACTTAAATTAATTTTTACCTACATAAACAGCATCGCAATCGTTACAGTCGATTTTAAAAAATCGTTAGTTAATATTTATTACCGAGAGACATTTTTTTAAAATTTTTCCCAAAAATGAGTGATTTCCTCAGATGAGATCGTGTTCCCAGATTTTTTCTATTTTGGGACAGCCTAGATACCATCATAGTTCTATGAGAGTCGTCTGGTCACGTAAATATCGTTTTAGTAATAATAATAATAGTAATATTAAATATATTAAATTGCAAGGTACTTATATTTTAAATGCATTTATAAATTTCAAATGATTTTATTTATAACATAAACAAATTAGAAAAAAATTCATATTTAAATATTTTTTCACCTACATAAACAGCATCGCGATCGTTACAGTTGATTTTATAAAAAATGTAAATGATTATATTTACAGGTAAGGAACTTAGAATAATAATTCATATTTTTTATATACAAAAATTAGAATACAAGATCTTATTTATTGGAAGTCGCGTGAATCAATAATAAAATGTCAAATATAAGCTTTCTATGTATGACCACGTTTTAGTGCACAATGCAAAACATGGGAGGACATATGACTCCAATTACAAACAAAAGAATAATATTCTAGATTTATTAAGACAGACAAGAGAAAAAAAAGGTTTCAGTTAGTATTATTATTGACTAAACAAATCCAGGCAAAAATGTTAAGCAAGGAATGCATAAATACATTTCAATAATAGAGGAACAGCTTTATTATTTTAAGACCGGAAAGTTACTTCAAGTTACCTTAAGGAAAAATGCCACTTAAACCCAATTTGTTTATACTAATATTTTATCTTTAAAATATATAAATTTTATTCAAGTTCAGTCAAAAAAAATCTCTTAAATGTTAGAAATTGCTAGAAATAATCCAATCCAAAACCAAAGATCATCTCGATTATATTCAGATGTTCAGAATTTTCTGGTACCTGCCTAAAGACAAATTGCAACTTACACCTAGTTCTTTAAAGTTTATGCTCTATTTATAATTTTTTTTAGGTGGAAGTGACCCCAGCCCACGACTGCATAGTAGCCCAATGGAAATTGGACATAGACACAAAATTATTAAGAGGAGGAGCAGTCAGTTATAGTCTGCCACAACCCTTTTATGTTTTGTACAACCCTTGGTGTTCCAGAGACCAAGTTTACATGGCAGGTAAATAAAAAAATCACTAACATATCTAACAGTATTTCTAACATAAAAAACTCTACTGAGGAGTAGACCGAAAGAACAAAAAAACATGAGCTACAGTCTGCCACAATCCTTTTACGTTTTGTACAACCCTTGGTGTTCTAGAGACCAAGTCTACATGGCAGGTAAATAAAAAAAAATCTCTAACATATCTAACATAAATATTGTAGTAAGAAGAACTCTACTAACGAGCAAAGTGAAAGAATAAGAAACACGAATCAAGAATTATTGGAGAACAAACTATTGGAGAACAAATGACTATATGCTGGATGAAGAAAAATATAATTAGTGCTTAAGAAAAGTTATTTTTTAAAAAATACAATGAGAGAAAAGACATATCTACTGACTAGAAATTTAACTTGTTAAAATATAGAGTTTTAAAAAAAAAAATAATTTTTAGAATAAAACTTTGGAAGAGATTACTATAAAAAAAAGTAAAAAAAAATTAGGACATCTTTATTTTTCCAGAAGTTTCCACCACCAATTTTATGTCATCATCAGTAAATACTAATAATTTTGAAAACAAACTTGAAATACATTCAGTCTTCTAGATAGTAATTATCAGAAAGAGTAAGGCAATTAAAATATCAAAAATTAAAAAAGTAATAGCAATTATCAAAAATGTATAAAAAATGGTATACTAAAAGATGATAAAAGATTAAAACCACATTCAAATGAATAATATTTTTCTAAAATAAAGACTACAGTTTCGGTATTCTTTCCAATATTTGTTCCATCCGAGGCAAAGTCACAAAATATACTGATTGTTTCATTTTGTACACTATGATTTTTTACACTATTTGTTACTACTATGAAATAAAACAATTTCTTAGAAATCGACTGGAATTTAAAACATCCTTAAAGAAAGATTGAAGCCAATGGAACTCCTTTCCTAGTTGTTTTTATTGATCATCTAATTTTTTTGCAGATGATGCTTTAAGAGAAGAAACAGTAATGGCAGATACAGGACTAATTTGGAGAGGATCCTACAACAGATTAAGACCTACTGTTTGGAAATATGCCCAATTCGAAAAAGACATCCTGGATTGTGCCTTGTATCTCATCACTCACGTATCAAAGGTAAAAAAAACATATCTTATATATAAATATTGAGCTCTCGATTAAATGATCCGCTAAAACTCGGCTAAACCGATTTGGCCAGCCTTAGTCTTGAAAAATTCGTACCAATCAGTAGGTTGTCGGAAAGGTGAGATATTATTTCAAAATCGTGTAGAATCTTTAAATTTTTAATTTGAAAAATTTTGTAGAAGCGTATTTTAATAAAGCAATGGACGGTGGCTAATACGTCAAATGTCAAAGGATTTTGACAGATGATGTTCAATTACGTTTAATAGGATGTTTTACGTGAATATGATTTAATTGTGATTAAATTGTAGGATGTAGTTTTGTTTGTAGTTTTATTCATATACAAAAACGTTAGTAAACGGGCCGCAAGTGTTACTAGAGACGCAAAATATCAACTTTTTTGAAATGTTAATATGAAAATGCACTTTTTGCCATATTTTTCTCAAACACGGTGCTCTGAAAGGTCTTATGTGTATAATTATATACTCATTGGTATTTATAAAACATTTCCTAGGTTATATTATTTTTATATATGTTATTTAAATTCAGAACCTAAATTTGGTATAGATCAAATGGACATTTTGTCGAATAACATTTTTCCAGTTATAATTTCCCAGAATTTATCGCAGAATAGATAGTAATATATGAAGGTCCGGGATTAAAAAGGTCCACCACCGATGTGTCAAAAACCAGTAAAGTTAAGCATTGTTTAACAACAATATTTGAAAGTAGAGGGAAAAAGATGTAAAGCAAAAAGTAAAAGCATTATACTGATTTTAATAAAAGCTATTTCTTTCTAGTTGAAAGGGGCTTCCAGAGGTGACCCTGTTCTAGTTTCTAGAGCCCTTTGTGGAGCTGTCAATAGTGCTGATGATAATGGAGTGGTACAAGGAAATTGGTCAGATGATCATGGTGGTGGTACACCACCAACAAAGTGGATTGGAAGTATGAAAATTATGCAGGAATATTATAAGTAAGTAAGTGCAATAGTTATAAAAATATTGAAGATGTTTATTATATATTTTTTGGCAGGAAAAAGAAACCTGTGAAGTATGGACAATGTTGGGTTTTTGCTGGAGTACTTTGTTCAGGTGAGTGAAGTAATTAGACTAAATTCTTGATATATATATATATATATATATATATATATATATATATATATATGAAAACGTACAGGATTCAGAGTTTTTATAAAATCTTACAGAGTCTTATCAAAAATAGCATTTGTCCCAAATCTTGCTAGAATTAAACCTCACTGAACCAATTAATGATTTCATGAGAACAAGTGCCCTTTTCAGCTTATCTGTATCACATTTTCCAAATTTCATGGGATTTCTAGTAATATCACCTTGCCATAAGATTTTTATTCCATGAAATCCTTAACCAGGAACACCATCATGAAATCAAATAAAAACCTTATACCATAAGTGACATTTTCATATATAAAATCATACTAGATCCAAAGTTTTTATGAAAACGTACAGAGTCTTATAAGATCCAAAATGTCAATAGAATAAATAATTGTCAAAAATAGCATTTGTCCCTAATCTTGCTAGAATTAAATATCACTGAACCAATTAATGATTTCATGAGATCAAGCGCCCTTTATTCTGCTTATCTTTATCACAAGTATCCAGTACCATAGGATCCCTAGTAATATCACTTTGTCATAAAATCTTTACTCCATAAACTCTTTAACCAGCAAGACCACCGTACAATCCCATAAAACCTTGAACCATTACTTTGACTTTTTCTTTTTTTTTAAAAAAAAACATAAGCATGTCTTGTTTTATTTTTACCAGCCCTAAGGACTTTAGGAATCCCATCAAGGGTCATCACAAACTACTCCTCAGCCCACGACACTCAGGCAAGTTTGACTGTCGACTATTTTGTGGACGAAAAAGGAGAAGTTATGGAAGAACTCAATTCGGATTCCATTTGGAATTATCATGTATGGAACGAGGTAAATAAATCAATCAGAAAAAATATACTAATAGAATGAGGATCATATTTTTTAAATGGCAATTCAGCCCTTTTCTTTTTCTCATACAAACGTTTTCTAACTAAAACGTAGAATCAATTTGAGCTTTATTGCTAATATATAAAGTTCATTTTGAATTACAAGCACTCACTGTATACTCCTTCTAAACGATTATTCGGATTTTGATAATCTTTCTGAAGTTTGTCAAGGAAATTTTTTAGGACGTATGTGATTATAAAGTACTGCAATATTGTAGAAATAAATGGAAAAAATGCAAAAAACGACATGTCATTGTTTGCATTGAAAACAAATGAAAACTATCATCCGTCAAAAATTTCAATTTACTTATGAACCTAGACAATATTAGAATGTGTATAATAAATTTATGATCATGAATAAGAAAAATGAAATGTCTACATTATTATTGCCAAAAAGCAGCAGAGATGTGCCAGAAATTAAAATAATATAAGATACCATATATGTATGGCAGATTGAATGATACACATATGAACAGGATATGACAAATTAATTCACTTAAAATATGAAATTAAGTATTAATCAGGGCCGATCATACCTTTAATGCGATGCATGCGAAAAATATGAGTGCACGCTTTAGGAGGCTATATTTTAATGATAATGATAAGTTTTTTTTTAGTAAAAAATAATAGTATATAAGAATGATTTTGTAATTAGATGTCTTTTAATTTAATTCCATTACCCAGGCCTGGATGGATCGGCCAGATCTGTACCCGGCCTATGCCTATGGAGGTTGGCAGGCGGTCGACGCGACACCTCAAGAGTTATCCGAAGACAGTTTCCGATGCGGCCCTGCAAGTGTCATTGCCGTTAAACAAGGCGAAATTAAAAGGGCCCACGATACTGCGTTTTTGTACGCCGAAGTCAACGCAGACAAGGTAAAAAAAATTGATCATGTTTCCTGCAACTTTTAAATCTTTTTTCTGATATAATTGGATAGAAATGATAAATTTGTGCAACATTAAATGGATCATGCAGTTTTCTAATATTGTAGAACCTTTAAGTTAGAGATACTTTAAAAACGCAACGTCCAAAAAATATTGTGTTTGTTCTGCATTGTGTGCAATTCTAGTTATTTTATATATAATTTTTAAATTATTATTTTTAGGTATTCTGGAGATATGCAGGACCAACACAACCATTAAAACTTTTACGAAAAGACATGTACGGAATTGGACAACTGATTTCAACAAAAGCTGTCGGAAAATGGGAACGAGAAGTACGTATTTTAACAATTTACTTTATATAAAATAAGTGTCTTATTTTTGTATTTTTTTCAAGGATGTTACACATACTTATAAATATCCAGAAAAATCCGAAGAAGAACGTGCCATAATGTTGAGGGCTTTGAGAAACGCCGAAAGCATTTTCTCAAGATATTATTTAAACGAAGACTTTAATGACGTCAGGTAACACAAATATAAATTTATAACAAATATAAATTTATTTACCATTGTTTGTTTTATTGTTGTTTCTATTTCCAGATTTGACTTCGAGCTCCTCGACGACATCAAAATTGGCGAAAATTTTGCTGTTGTTTTAAAAATTGAAAATCGCAGCGGAATTACTGCTCATAGAGTAACTGGATTTTTGAGAGTCGACACTGTTTTGTATACTGGAAAAGTTAAAGGCGAAGTTAAATTGTTACAATTCACTAGAGACGTAAGTATTGTAATAGATAATAAATAAGGCAGGTCCTTGATGTTAGGAGACATTTTAGTCCTTTTTTTAACATTTATGGTCACGCCGTTAGTAGATTCAGGTATTACTCAAGATTATGGTTGCTGATAGAGCAACTCTTTCTATTTCAGGATAATTTTTTTCCTTAATTATTCAATTATTCATTTATACATGTGTCAATCAATTTATTAATGTATACATTATTAAAATAAAATTATTTTCAGATTTTGCCGAGTACAACAGACGAAGTAAGAATGGATGTATCATTTGATGAATATTTTGGACGTTTGATAGATCAGGTAAGCAAAATAATTAGAAAAATAAAATTCTTATCCAGAGATTTGCAATAATTCTTTAGTTCTCAAAAAATGTACGATTATGATTATTATTATTTTGTTAAATTTTTAAGAGTGCCTTCAACATATCATGCATGGCCAAGATACAGGACACAGATTACGAATATTATGCCCAGGATGATTTCCGTGTAAGAAAACCTGATATCAAAATTAGACTGGGTGGATTACCCACCACTGGAATTCCACTAGAGGTAAAAATTAATATAAATATTAATTAAACAAAAATTAAAAATAACAAATATTTAATATATGAATTTTATAATAATAAAAAATAAACTATGTAGTAACACATACATAACTCATTTTTTAAGGTGCCCTCCAAATCCTATTTGATTTTTAACAAAACTTTATTGAATCAATGAATTTATTTAGAATATTTGATAGATTGTTATTATTACTAAAATATTGTTATTTATTATTGAACTAATAATTTAATGTTATTTTTAAGTAGGTACTTATGGATCACTCCATGGTAAATTATCATCGAATATTCTTTTTTTTTAAAAAAGTTGCTCCTAAATAAAATACCCCTGAATACAAGTTCAATAAAAATCACTGCTTATTAATTTAATATTATTCTTATTTTGTCATTATTATTATGTTATTATTAGAATTGTCATTATTATTATAGCATTTTTATTATTGTTAATGCATTTCTGAGTATTATTAATGGTAAATCCAACAATCTGTTAGATAAAACAAAGGGCAGAGATTATAATTAATTGTTATTATTATTATTATTTAAAATTATTAATTATTATTGTTATTTAAATAGGTTTCCTTAAGACTGACAAATCCAATGCCGATTGCATTGAAAAAAGGAGTTTTTATCGTCGAAGGTACAGGACTGGAGCAGCAGTTGAAAATTAAGTTAAAACAGGTGAGTCAACATTTATATATAAACACAGGGTGTGTTTATAATATTATATGTTTCAACGTCAAGATAAAAAATTCATACTATGCTGTTTGAAAGTTATGAGCTTTTAAGCACAACTTAGAGCTTTGGTGGATCTGCAACCATTTTTTTGGTCACCGTGGTTAATTTTACCATAATTAATTATTCATTTGAACTTCGAAACAGCAGCCATAAATGAAATTTCTAGTATCGTAATAAAAAAAATAACACAATTGATCCATATTTTCAAGATTTCACACTTTGTTATACCATGTATTAAAAATTTTTAAAATTGGTCGACCTTGAAATTGGCGTTCTCCAAAAAAATGTACCAACTGACTTGGTCATTGAAAAATTAAAATATACATCATATAATTATAATTATTTTTCTCAGAATATCGAACCAGGCCAAACCCACATCGAGACCTTCAACCTGACTCCACCATATTCTGGCAGGAGCACACCATAGTGGCCAAATTCTCTTCGAAGGAATTGGACGACGTGGACGGTTTCTGGCCTATGTCGTCGCCCAAAACGACGGCGGAGGCGCAACCGGAGCAGTCGCCTCCAACGAGGTTGTGGAGGAAAATATGGAGAATGGAGGCACCAGCGCGGTTAATGGATCTTATGTTAATGGAGAAACGTAAAAAAAATCTTGGGTGAAACTATTTTATTACCATATTAAGTGATCGAACTGACTATATCGATTCTGCCCTTTTAAAAATCGAAACTACTCCTCCAACTCGATTCCAAAAGTACTTGCTCATTATTTTCATATTTTGGATGCAACCATTAGAAGTTTATATTTTAATTTTACCTGGATTTGGGATAATTTCACATATTATTTCTCAAGAATCAGAAAAAATTGAAACTTTTGAAACCTTAGGAATAATTTATGCTATATTAGCTATTGGATTATTAGGATTTATTGTATGAGCTCATCATATATTTACTGTATGCATAGAGTATCGATCATTTTTATGTCTATACTGAATTCCACTAAATGGCCGTGTGATATAAAGTACGGGTACTGGAAAAACATCTGTGAAGGTGGAAAACATCTCATTAGAAAATCTTTCCTGAAGCCAAGAGAAACCTTGTCATAGTTTAATAGAATCAAACTATATTCTGATTGACTATTAGAAAAAACAGTTAAAGAGTACACAACTGAGTTCTTTAGGAAATTATACCCGTGCTTCATAATTTTAGAGATTACCAGACTTTTCTTCCAATTTACTTTGAAAAGCAATATATTTCAAATTACACATGATAAATGGTCGATAATTTAATGTTATTTCTAAGTAGGTACTTAAGGATGGCAAAAGCCTGAGAAGTTCTTTAAGAAATAATACCCGTTCTTTCATTTTGAAGGAGTTCTTTACGAAATAATACCCGTTCTTCATAGTTTTATAGATTTCCACACTTTTCATCCAATTTTCTAAGAAAAACAATATATTACAATTACGCATAAAACTAATTATAATAATTATATAATTACGATATACATTATAATTACGATAATTTGATGTTATTTCTAAGTAGGTACTTATGGATTACTCTATGATAAAATATCATCATATATTCTTTTTTAACAAAAGTTGCTCCTAAATAAAATACCCCTGAATACAAGTTCAATAAAAAGCACTGCCACAAAAAAAAATAGTGGAAAATACAGATTTTCATTAAATTAGAGCATAAACGTTATCATATGCCTATAATATTTAGTGCCAATAATCGGTTAAGAACAATTATGTACAAAATTAATAATTTAGGAATAATTTTAATTTATTTAGTAACTTTTCGCCCTTTTCGAGCAGCTCGAAAAAGCATACACTTTATATATTTTGCAATCAATATTTAGTAATATTAGTAAATTTTAATTTCATTTTTAATAGAGAAAATCACTGCCTATGTTATAATTTAATTATATAAAAATATAATCACATATTTATAATATAACAATTTGAAGTGTTTTGAAAAATTGAAAAAAATATTTATTTAGATATTTATTACAAAGAGTATTTGTAAAATATTTTATAAATTTCTAGAATTTTTATTATGATTGTATGCATGTAGCCTTAATGGATGAAACTAACAAATATAGTTATTTTAAATTAACAATTTTATATATATATATTTTTTTAATTTAAGTAATAATTAAGTTGTAAATTAAGTATTTTTATGTGTAAAAATTGATTGTGATAATATTTTTCCAAAATCTTGCCTTTATGAGTAACGCTGTTGATTTATAAATTATTATATATACTCGTAAATAAATATTATATTATAAGCTTATAAACTTTTAGTTACAAAAACTAATATGATTTTTATATGAGTTAATCTATGTCAATGAATATCTGAACAAATATTATTATTTATAAGTTTAATATGTTTTATTTTTGTGTGAATTTTGTGCCAATATATAATTTGTAGTCACTTAACAAATAGAATATTTATTTTTAATATTATTATTATTATTATTTAATATTTATATTGAATAAATGCTATTGAGTAATTTATAGAACTAATTTTTTTTCAGTAATTTTATTCTACAATCTCTTTATAGAAAGAAAATGTAGTTGTTTCCTGGAATGAAGAAAAAATTACGATTATTTGTAGCTTTCAAATGATATATTTTTACTTTGAGAAAGTCTTGGTTCATATTTTTCCATAGTTTTTTTTATAAATACTTTATTTAATAATTATTGTTCCGATGTCTGCCTACTGCTTTAAATGTTTTTTTTACAAAAAATTGAACCTAATTAAACAAATTAGATTTTTTTTTAATATACATGAGAAAACACGGCAATTTTTCCATAATATTTTTTATCTAATGATTAATCTTATATTTAATAAATTGTGTTAATTTGTATACTGTAGTAGCAAATCAAACCAAAAACATTTTTATACCAAGTTGCAATCCAAAAAATTGAAACGTGAGTAATTCAATAGATACCGCCAGTGTTTCTTGTTTTTCAAAACTCAGAAAAGTATTTTTTTATATATATAAATCATTGTTTTATAAACAAATTAACTTATAATAATAAAATCTTATATGATTATAAACTAAATGATTAGAATCTTCAAAAAGAAATACAACAAATAAAAATAACAACAAAGTAACAATTTTATACAAAGCTTTGTAGTTTTATTCCTGAAGAAGAGTCAAAGTGGAGTTCGAAACGTGGGAAATTTTTTTTGAACATAACTTTTTTCAATAACTGGATGAATGTATTTATTCGAGTGATGTCATTTATTATAATTATTATTAATAATATTTCCTACTAACTTTGTTATATATCTTATATATCTCAGTCAGGTAGGGTGTCAAGTATAAGAAATTATAAAAAAAGGTTTATGCATAATAATTAAATAAATAAAAAATAAAATAATATAAAATATATATATATATATACGATTATATTCATAATTCACTATTAGTGTGTTAATGTTAATACCAATATTTGAAATATTAATTATATATCAATATCAATTACATATCAATTGATAGATTTATTATTTTTATTTTTATTATTATTATTTTTATTATTATATTTCCAATATAAATCGTTCAAAATAAAGAATATTTCTCGATCGTTCTTCTTCGAGATTCGAAATTAATCACGAATACCTTTTTGTTGCAACAGACACAGAACCTGTCGACAGGTAACATTCGTCATTTTTTCAATGATTAATTGTTTATAAATAAATAAATAAAAAATACACAGGAGAGAAACACACAACGGAAACTATTGATATATATATATATATATATATATATATAAATATTAAAATAAATATTTCTCCTGATTTATTACAAAAGACGAAGCGAAATCAATCACAGGCGTGATTCCTTCCAGTTATTAATTGGTTCATCAAAAATTTGAATTTAAAATATTTCTCGGACGAAAACTTATAAATCAGTAGTAGCAGTCTGGTGGGAATATGTTAAAAATGGTAAGTAATAAAAAAGAACAATAAATATACATATATGATCAAATGAAATTTGGATAAAATAGGAAACTGGCATAGGTCCATATTAGGGAACAATATTCTACAAAAACTCATCGATGATGAAACAGACTCTGTAAAATAATGCAGATATGGCTTTCAGTAAAATGCAGGGAATTGAAAGACAAGGCACATGACATAGAAGTACAATTTTACCTAAAGATTCAGATATTTTTAAATCAATGGTGGAAGTTTTGATAGAACAATATTTATGTGTATATATATATATATATATATATAT